CCACAATAATAGGTGAAGTATGGGTTTGTGTACTTCACTCTGAAATCAGGAAGGCCTTCACTCTGAATTCAGGAAGGCCTGGTGAGGCCTGTAAACCAGCAACCACAATATGTGGGAGCTCATAACCAGGAAGGCCTGTTAAGGCCTGTAACCTGCCGACCACAGTGTGTGGGAGCTCATGACCAGGAAGGCCTGTTAAGGCCTGTAACCTGGCGACCACATTGGGTGGGAGCTCATACTCAGGAAGGTCAGTGAGACCCAGCCTGGTGACCACAACCTGTGGAGCTTACTCACCAAGTGGAGGCTACTTCTTCCAAAAGTTAGCCAGAGAAGGGCGTCCCTGTAGCCTACTTAAGTGACAGGACGCCTCTTAGAGTGGGACCCAAGGGAAGACCGGGGTCTGACCCACATAAGAAGGGACCGAAGCATACCGCGCGTGACCCTTACCATACGAAATGGATTTTATAAAGTACACAAGATATCCCGTCATGTGATTTACCACAATAATAGGTGAAGTATGGTTCGTGTACTTCACTCTGAATTCAGGAAGGCCGAACTTGAGGCCTGTAACCTGGCAGCCACAACAAGTGGGAACCCATAATCAGGAAGGCCTAACAAGGCCTAACACCCGATAGTCTCAATGCACGGGGAGCTCACATTCAGGAAGGCCGCTGAGGCCTGCAGCCTGACATGTGAAGACTCACCACTACAACTTAGCGACCACGAAAAGTGGGGGTTTCACATTCAGGAAGGCCTGGTGAAGCCTGCAACCTGACATGTGACAACTCATAACCAGGAAGGCCAATGAAGCCTGAAACCTGGTGACCACAGAGTGGGAGCAAAGTGCTCAGGAAAGGTGGTGAGGCTGTATTCTGGCTACCGCAGCATGTGGGAGCCCACATTCAGGAAGGCTGGGTGAGGCCTGTAAACTGACTACCACAGTATGTGGGAACTCATAACCAGGAAGGCCTGGTGAGGCCTGTAACCTGGCGACCACAATGTGTGGGAGCTCATAACCAGGAAGGCCTGGTGAGGCCTGTAACCTGGCGACCACAGTATGTTGGAGCTCATAACCAGGAAGGCCTGGTGAGGCCTGTAACCTGGCGACCACAATGTGTGGGAGCTCATAACCAGGAAGGCCTGGTGAGGCCTTTAACCTGGCGACCACAGTATGTGAGAGCTTGTATCCTGGTGACCAAAGTATGTGGGAGCTCATAACCAGGAAGGCCTGGTGAAGCCTGTAACCCAGCGACCACATCATGTGGGAGCTCATAACCAGGAAGGCCTGGTGAGGCCTGTAACCTGGCGACCACAATAAGTGGGAGCTCATAACCAGGAAGGCCTGGTGAGGCCTGTAACCTGGCGACCACAATAAGTGGGAGCTCATAACCAGGAAGGCCTGGTGAGGCCTGTAACCCGGCAACCACAGTATGTGGGAACTATAACCAGGAAGGCCCCTTTGAGGCCTGTAACGTAGCGACCACAATGTGTGGGAGCTCATAACCAGGAAGGCCTGGTGAGGCCTGTAACCTGGCGACCACAGTATGTGGGAGCTCATAACCAGGAAGGCCTGGTGAGGCCTGTAACCTGGCGACCACAGTATGTGGGAGCTCATAACCAGGAAGGCCTGGTGAGGCTTGTAACCTGGCGACCACAGTATATGGGAGCTCATAACCAGGAAGGCCTGGTGAGGCCTGTAACCTGGCGACCACAATGTGTGGGAGCTCATAACCAGGAAGGCCTGGTGAGGCCTTTAACCTGGCGACCACAGTATGTGGGAGCTCATAACCAGGAAGGCCTGGTGAAGCCTGTAACCCAGCAACCACAGCATGTGGGAGCTCATAACCAGGAAGGCCTGGTGAGGCCTGTAACCTGGCGACCACAATCAGTGGGAGCTCATAACCAGGAAGGCCTGGTGAGGCCTGTAACCCGGCAACCACAGTATGTGGGAGCTCCCACAGATGTCTCTCCGTGGCCACCATAGCACTGACGGAACAGCAGATTGCTTGGTGGCCCGGAGTCCCGCAGCAGATCAGTCTGGTAGGCCTGAGGACCACAAGGGCGTGCAGAACCGCACCTGCCTGACCTGCTGCCGTGTACGCTCTGTCATTCAAGCATGAAGATGTCTTGAGCAGCTTGGATGACAGGGTCAGAGCTCTTAGTGAAGAGGACCAACCAGAGACGAGATAGTTAGCCAACGTCTCGTCCACTGGCGGCATCGACACATATCCGTGCTCCACGGCTCCCTCCACAGCAGCGAAACTAGCCCGCTGATGTAGATAGAGACCTGAGGAGAACGGATTCTTCCATACCCTCTCAATCCCAGCGTGGAGATCAGAAAGGAATGGAAGACTCATCCGGGTTGGTGGCTTATGGGTGGGAGGAACCAGCCATCCAAAATACCATGAGCGGGTTCCTCCCAGACGCGCCTCCACTGCAACTGCAATCTGTCTGTGGCGCGCCCCATAATGTCAACCAGCTAGCGTACACTGGGCAGGAGGGCTGAAATGGTTCGGTCTCAACCAAACTGACACCCTTTTCTATATATATATATATATATATATTACAGCCAACTCCTGCCCTGCCGAAGAGAACAGTTACAGATTCACCAAAGAGAGAGAGCGCTCATTTTCTCTCTTCTTAGATGTTCATCATTAATCTGTAACTCACCCTCGTCAGCTGGTAGATCATCCGCGAGGTTAACGCCCCTCTCCCGATAATCTGCCAGCTCCACCTGAAAGCTCCACGAGCTCAACCGCCACTGAGCCTCAGCCCGAGCGGGAACCGGAACCGCGGGGTTCAGATGCCGCGCCCACTTCCCTCGAGAAGTGGGTCAGACAAGAGCAGAGAGTTCTGAAAGGAAAACTCTCAGTTCGCGCAAAAAACTCCCTCGAGAGCTTCCCGCGAATGCTCTTCTCTCAGGCAGAACACGCACAGATCGTGTGAATCCTCCAGTGTCAAATATCTGGACACAAGTCGGCACACTCGCGCAAAGTGTTTCTCCACGGCTCTGCGCGCTTAATCGTTGATACTATCACACAGACAAACAGTCCCTGAAGACGAAAAGATGTTGTCACGGTTTCAAGGCGCCCTTCTTATACATCCAGATTGACGCGCTCATCATTCAAGCTGATGATGCACGGGCTGTCGCCGGTCAACCTGATTACTGTAAGTTGATATTTGATTTCAGACACCTGTCACGCCTGAGGCATTCCCCCATTGCGTCATTCGACGTATTGTTGAGTTCCCTTCGAAAGGGAACTCATAAATTTATGCTTGCTGAGCTGTCAATAAATGTATTCTGCTTTACAGTTTATCTCCTGAGTCTTTCTGGTAGAACTGTATTCTAAAGTGTTTCCAAGAAAAATTATTGGAATAATTCTGGATATTAAATTATCAATTTGGTTTTAACCATTCATCAGAGACCAGGGATTCATTCTGGATCAAATTGGATCACTGAGATTCGGTTAAGAGCAGAGTGTTTGTCCCTGTAAGAGAACTCTTCAGCTAAATGCATTCACATCTGCCATTCAAAACACAAGACAAAAACAGAGAGACAGAGACAATTGCACATACAGTTCAACCAAGGCAGGATGGAAGCATTTAGTGTGTGAGATCACATGCATTGCTGTGGTTGGACTGTGTGTTATCCAGACATATTAGGAGTGCTCTGGTTGTGGATTCTGACAGTGCACTGGAAAGAATGGATATGTTTAATCGTCCATTTGAAAAAGGAGGCAGAGGAATCTGATGCTGGCAGAGCAGTGGGAAACCCACAGGCCTTTGGCCCTCTGTCAGAAAGGATCAAATATGTGTGCCATTATCCGTGCACATGTGTGCCAAAAGAGGAGAGAGAGGCAGATACATAAAAATGGTTGTATGTCACACTGAGGTGCACTTTTGTTAATGAGTGAAG